GGCAGTGCGTTAGGCTGCTGCTCTCAGAGCCTTCCTCTAGTGCAGGAGTTCCTGAGGTGATGGGCAACAGATCTGCCCTTGACCCTAGAAAAACTGAGTGGTCTGAACTTACAAATATCTGATCTCTTCCACTGCAGCTTTAGGAACTGAGCGTTTGCTCTCTTGCCTCTTGCTGAAACTGGCTCCTGCTTGAATAAGGACTCACCTTGGCTCTGAAAGAGAGGACTGTTAAATGTTTAAAGAATGAATTGTTTCACCTGAATTCTGAGAAACGGCGACTTCTGTTGCTTTAGAGATTAAATTAGTCTTGGGACAGCAAAGAATAGGATGTGGAAAGAGATGATATGTAATTTTATTTTTCAGTCAGATTGCCAAGTCCACTTACAACCACAGATAATTCCACCCAACATGGAAGAGTACATGAACAGCCTCCTAACAGCAGTGCTCCCCTCGGTGCTGAACAAATTCCGGATTTACCTAAGCCTGCTGAGGCTGCTGGACTATAGTATATCTGATGAAGTGACCAAGGTATGGAAGACTTCACTAACAGGTTTTCAGCTGTATACTCAGGTGGAAAGCACCTTAATAGAAAGTTGCTAGAAAGTTGATGTACTTGTATTGCTCTTCCTGTCAGTGATTCTTGAAGTTTTCTAAAAACCAAACAGAAGCATTGTCTTCCTCCTGACTGTGCCTTCAAGGATTTGAACTCTTGAGTATTTCACTGTGTGCTTTGCACGTACCCTGCTTCCTACAGTTCAGTTTGAAAACTCATTTCAAAGATAAATAGTCCACGAGTTGGAATGTGTTTCTCCTGTAATCTAAGGGTAGTTAGGGTGTTTAAAAGCTGCTCTTGTAGTGTTGAGGATTCTTTTTCAGCACTGAACTCTGCTGTGTTGTTTTCAGGCAGTAGAGGAGGACTTTGTAGAAATGCGCAAGAACGACCCCGAGCGCGTGACGGCCGATGACCTGCACAGGACACTGCTTGTGGCAAGGTGGGTAGGGCTGGCTGTCAACTGGAGGCTTTCTAGCAAGCCACTGCCAAATCAGGTCAATGCTCCTAGTCTGCAGTTGGTAGTTGCATGAGGCCAGCCAGCAATCCAGAGATGGAAGCTCCTCTTCTTTTGGTCCTCTTGTCACAGGTTCCTAGTTGGGCAGAGCTTTCTTCCCATGGTATCTCAGGATGCTGGAAGAAAACTGGGGTGGTTTTTTTGTATTCGTTTCTCAAACCCAGCACCTGAACAAGCTCTTACCTCCTTGGTGTTTCTGCTCCTGCAGGTTCCTGTCTCTCAGCGCGGGGCAGACGACGCTGTCGCGGGAGAGGTGGCTCAGAGCAAAACAGCTGGAGGCGCTACGTCAAGCCAGGCTTCAGCAGCAAAAATGTGTTAATGGGAATGAACTCTAACATTTTGTGGCTGTTGCTATGAAAATTTGTCTAATCCTAGATGGAAACCATACTAAGATTGGAATATTGTTTATACCAGTTTTTGTAGATAATTTATACCAAAAAAGTTATGGATATTTACCCTCAGTCTGAACACACTTAACTCTGTTCAGCCAGTTAAACGTATTTTATGGAATTTTTTTGGAGCCTGTTTTGTAATTGAAAAATTGGTAACAATGAGCAAATTGTTTGATATTAAACTTTAATACTGAAGCTGTGTAAACTTCTTTCCTTTAGTACAAAGAAAATTTAACCCAGAGTCCTTCATACACAGCAGTGGTAGGCTCTTCTCTGGAGTAAGTTTGTGCTATCATTCTTGAAGGGCTGAATTCGGGTCAGAGTGTTCAGCCAGCCAGCAGCCACAGCTGAAACAAACAGACTTTAGTGGCTGGAACTGTCTGTACTGTTGTTCCCCCAGCTCAGGCACGCTGTGCTCAGAGCAGCAGCACAGTAGAGATTACATTGTGCTATCAAGGAGTGAGCTGATCTTATCTGTGACAGGGTTCCAGTATGAAATTCTTTGTTATTGTACTTTGAGAAGACCATGACCAACTTCTTGGATCTCTCTAATGAGCTTTATTCTGGCACAAATTTAAAAAAAACAGCAGTCATTGACTGAAGCATGGGTGATACTGATGTACTCATACAAAACATCTTACTTTCTACATTACCAGTAATGCAGTGGGTTTAAATTGTTTGAGTAGTATCAATGAAGAATAGTCTCTACATATCTTATTCCTATTGTACAGCTTGAGCTGGTTTTCAGGATGTACTGCCTCTGATATTACTCAGAACTGGTTTCACAGAGGTGGTTTAAGTGATGAAACTGGATTGGAGCTGGAGTAACCCAGAAAGACTGTGATAGTAGGTAGGGCTGTCTCTACAGAGACAGCCTGCAAGGGCCGGGGATGGAACCAGGCCCCTCTTGTTTCAATTAAGCCTCTCCTGAACAAGAAAAAATGCTCCTGCCCAATCTAAATTAAGCCTCTACCTCGTGCTACCTTATGACTGAAATAGTGTGAGGAGGAACCCCCTTTTTTACTGCATTTCTCCTGTTCTTTTTTAGAACATGGTTCTTTGCTGCACACACAAGCTGAAACTGTCCTTTTTGTCTTTGCAGACTGATTATTATGGCACACAACACTTTTGTTTATCTTAAACCTCAGCCAAGTTTGATGCCCTTTCAAATCACTTACAGCTCGTTTCTATTTGAACACCAAAATGTTTCATTAACATAGTTAAGGGACTGAACAAATACAGGAAGGAAAGGGAAGTCTCTCCTCAAAAGGCAGTCTGAAAATCACAGTTGGTTTGTAAGATTGTCTTCCAGTGATGCTCTGAGTATGGTTTTGGTGCATATTGCCATAGATTGTGTGAGACTCTTAAATATTGGACAATTTGTAAGCTGGAATGACATGATACTTTTGGATCAACCAGCAGTGAACCAACATAACCAATCAGGAATAGTTTCCAGAAAGGTAGTTATCAGTCATATAATATATTCTTATATTAAAAGAATGGCTGTTTATAGCTACTGCTACCTTTGCCCTGCAGGGACTTTCAGACTGTAGAAGTCACTACAAATATTTGTACAGATCAGTTTCTTTCTCCTACCAAAATAAAGGCAAAGTATTTGGCATTTCCTCTCCCTCCTCCAGAACCTTAGGCAGGTTTTGATCTGTAACTGCCTGAAGGGAGGCTGCAAAGGGGAGCACCAGTGGTGCACAGTGCTGGGACAAGAGGCCACAGGCACCAACTGAAACAGAGGAGATTCCCTCTGACAGGAACAAGTGTTCCTGATGTTCAGAGTGGCTGAGCACTACACGAAGCTGCCCAGAGGGTGCTGGAGTCTCTCTCCTTGGAGATGTTCAAAAGCTGTCTGGATAGCCCTGGGCAGGCAGCTCCAGGAGGCCGTGCCTGTGCAGGGAGGTTGGACTGTATGACCACCTACCTTCAGCCGTTCTCACTCTGAAGCCAGAGCAAGTCAAGACAATCCACTCACCTTTGAAACTTCAAGCCCCACAGTACTATATCCCTTAACATAACATGCCAAAAAGCATCTTCTAATTCCACATTTTTTTTATTAAAATATCTCATGTATATTGCTCACATTAAAATACAGCAGTAGTTTAATTTTAAATATAGCCACAAGTATAGACACTCCAAAAACCCAAACCCACATCACTTTAATAAAGCAAATAAATAAATCAAATTCATTTATCAAAGTTTCAGACCATCAGGGTTAGGTGATAACCATTTCAGACACACAAGAAGTCCTAAGACACTGTACTACCCTACCCCTATGACATGATTTTTTGGGAACACCACGTGCAGCCTATCTACAGTACATGGACTAGGACACGGAGGCACTGGGTCTCTAATGGTGGTTATAGATACAAACCACAGCATAGTAAGATCCTGCTTTACAGTAGCTTTCAGATAATGTCCTACACTAGAATGGCATGGCAGGGCATTTCTGTGAAAGAGGAAATTGGAGAGATTTAAATCTTTTGACACACATAGATAAGGGGTTGGGAGTTTTTTTATCCAATGCCCAGCACGAGTGGATGCTCAGCCTCATCCTGCGAGTCTGCAAAGCTTGAGTTGGTGATGAACTTGGTTTTGATTAGATGCTGACATCGATGCTCTAATGCAACACTGATTTTATGAAACAGTACATTTGCCTTCTGGTTCAGAAGTTATTTGCATCTGGACAGTTAGAATATAGTTTTTAAAAAAAATCCTAAGAGGGACACGCTGCCTGAAGGTCAAGTATCTGGTTTGTCTTGCTTTCCACAGAGACCAAAATATTAGAGCAAATTGCCAGTGCTTGGAATTTGGAAAAAAGGAAACAGGAACAGCTTCAGCACAGTCAAGATAATTAGAGGGCATTTGCCCCATTTCCCTTCACCTCAAAACAAGTGGTAAAAAAAAAAAATCTACAAATGAAATTTGCACTGCAGAATCGTGGCTGTTTCAGATTGGGTCTATATGCTTTACCTTTACTCAAAGTGTCCCAGGACGTGTGGACATGAAAAAAGGACAGCAAAAAGAAACCTTAACTTCTGGTTAACATAATTCAACAAAATCCCATCAGTTCCCATTGTAGAGGCACAGTTCATAGAATGCTGCATCTAAAACTCCAATGAAAACAAGTAAAAATACTAATCCAAAAATAAATAAAGTGTAAATACCCAGTAAGTTATTTTGCTGGTGCAGTGCAAGGTAAGTAAGGTCACAGAAGTGCAGTATCACCTTTTCAGTATAAATACTTTCTACATAAGTCAGAAGAGCTAGAAAATTAGTCTCCAAAAATAACTGTGCAACACATTGAAGACAGACAGCATGCTTGTTAAATCCCAGTGTCTAAGCTACCTGTTTAAATATGGTTTCCCATTCTTGCATCTCAGCTGCCTGAGGGAATTCCAAAGCTTGGTCAGAACCAAATTCATTTACATCTCTCACTTCCTGTAAACAAGTTATCACTGTTATTGATCCCAGTATTCAGTAGCAGTTCATGCCACAAGGAGTCCTGATGTAATATTTCTAGTATGTATTGAAAGCCACAACTAGAAGAACACTCCCTAAACGAGCAGCTAGATTTGAATTATTCGTGTCTGGCATTGCGTAAACATTTCTTTCAGTTCTTTTTGTTTGATCTCACTCATAGCTTCTGGTTCTGCAGGGCTCTTCTGAACCTTTGCCACAGCAAAATTAATCCCTTGAGTCAATCCTGCTTGTGTGATGTTAGCTACCTGGACCATGGAACTGCGAATTTTCGCGAAAGGAGACACGGCTCTGCTGCTGCTGCCGTCGGCGGGAGAAGGAGTCGTGGGGAGTCCTGACTCAGCGTGGCCAGACACAGACCCTGGGCTTTTATGGGACTTAGTGAAGTCACTCCCACCCACAGCTAGGAGCTGAGGATTTGGCTCAGAAGACTGTACGTCCAGCTTAGATGGCCTGGAAGGAACGTCTCTGATAGCTTCAGCCTTGGTTTCTGCCTTCTCAGATGTATTATTGCTGGCTTGATTTATGATGTGATGGGGCTCTTGAGAACCAGCCTCAGCCTCCAAAACACCTGACACCTTACTTTGAGCATCATGCACAAACCTCTGGCAGTACACATCAATAGGCTTAGCAAACTCCATCTCCACATGGTCAGCAGAAGGCATGGGTACATCTTCACAGTCAGACTGGCCAGCCTGAGAGCCAGGGACCTCAGATGGAACATGAATGCTGATGCTCATGTCTGTGCTGCTTATGGACTGGGACCGACTGCCCAGCCGTGGGGCTGAGGCAAGGATCCCACAGCTAGGCAGCACATAGTCTGTCTGCCCCATGTTCTCCAGAGAGTCGGTCAGCTGGTTGTCCTCATCAGATTTGGAATTGGTCAGGAAATCATCCGAGTGGAATGAATCATTATCTGACACTTCTGTGTCAGACTCGGTATGGACTTTAGCATCTACCACTGGATTCTCTAAAGTTTCCAGGCTGCTATCTGATTTCCAAAGATTCACTTTCAAATTTGGTTTTAGAAAGTTGACTTTCACCTCAGGTTTGGTGAAGCTGCCCAGCTTGCGGAGGTTGCTGATGTTCACATTGGATTTGGTTTGCTTCACTTTTTGATTGAGAGAGGAGAACTTGCTCAGCAAATAATTCTTGCCTTGGGCCAGGGACCCTCTGTTCTGAGACCGAATGCCAATGATGTCTTCGTGAGGCTTACTGCTCTTCCTGGAAGAAAAAGGAAAAATAAGCTCTAATGTACAACCACGTCAGTCTCATTTATAAACACCCAGTATTTACTGTCTCCCAGTCTATTTCCATCACAGAGATGGACATTTCAGCTAACAAGTTACCCTTTCCTTATGTAATTGTACTCACAGAAGCTAACCAAATTCAAAACAACAAAAACAAAGGAGGGTTGACACAGGATGGTACCAAACAAGGGGCAAAGTGAGCTTCTGCAGGCATTTAATTGTAGAGGAAGCTGGATTTTAATTCTGTGTTTGTAACCCTGACTGTTTATGCTGTACTTGGTAGCCAGGTGTGACAAATACTCAGTCTTCAGTACCTGTAAGAAAGAGGAAGGTTTTTCTTTCTAGTCTGCTGGGAAAAGAAGCTGAAATAGCAGCCCCATAATCAAGTGCAGAAGAAAGTTATTGAAATATGCACCCTGACAGTTTTCACTTGACCATTTACAATTGTTCTACACACTTCTTCCAGTAGTTCATACAGTCTGAATTAGAAGAGCCCAAAATAGTGCAACAGATCACACTGGAACTGGTCAAACATTCAGAACTTCAGCTCACCATCCTCTCATTTCTACTGTGTTGTCCTTCCTAAGTGATTTCCTCACTGTTAACACCTCACCAATATTTGTAGATAAAGGTCACTTCTGTTTAATTATGGACAATTGCCTTAAGAAAAACCTATCTAAAAAGTCCTAGTAAGTACTTCTAATTATCATCTATGCTTTTGTGTGCCCTCTTCTCTTAATGGGTTTGCAAAACAAACCTCTGTGCCACTCGAAGACTTTGGAGTTCAGAAGGTTAACTACAAGTTTTGTGAGAAGAAATGAATGAAATGTTATCTGGATTTGTTAACACTCAGCTGCAGTGGAAAAACCAGTTCTACACTTCACAGGTTGTCGTATTACAGAAGCAGACACTAAGTTCAGATAGGATAAAAGTAAATTTGGCAAACTAATCATGAACCCTCTGATCTGCAGTACTTTATTTGCTTTTGGTAGTGTATATTGTCTGTAAGCACACAATTGCTCTCAGCTCCCTGGAAGGAGGTTGTAGCAAGGTGGGGGTTGGTTTCTTCTCCCATGTGGTAAGCAATAGGCCAAGAGGAAACGGCCTCAAGTTGCACCAAGGGAGGTTGAGGTTGGAAAAATTAGGTTTGGAAAAATGTCTTCACAAAGGGTTGTCAAGAGCTGTCCCTGGCTGCTCCAGGGTGGAGTCCCCATCCTGGAGTGGTTTAAAAGCTGTGTAGATGTGGCACTGAGGGACATGGGTTAATGGCTGGCTGGGCAATGCTGGGTCAGCCATTGGACTTGATGACCTTGAAAGTCTTTTCCAACCTACGTGATTCTATGATTGTATCTATAAAATATTGTTCTTCCTTATACTCTTGGATAAGGGCCTGCAGAGAGGTATTAGTGGAAGCAGCATATAGACAAAATGAACTCCTAGCACAGCAGCTAGATACAGATGTTTTTAGACACCACATGTGACTGCTACCACACACTGTTAGCCACTGAGGAGAGAGCAGAAGAGGAACACAAGATCTGCATCATTTGATTACTCACCTTTCTAGCTTTTTCTCAATAATGGGCACATCCAATCCCATTGCTTGCTTTGTGATCCTCAGCATTTCTGCAATGCACTGAAGAGTGTCTGAAATCCAAGTAGAAGCCTGTTAGACCCTTCCAAAAACCTTTAAAACTCCATATTCTAAAATCTACAAAGTAGTAAATCTCATTTTAATGGAAGTAAGTTTGAGTTTGTTGGGTTTTTTCTTTCACCCTTTAGAACAGTTGCACCCTACATGTCGCAACTCTGATTTAAAGCTTACAAAATAAGATTGACTCTCAAAATAAGAGACTGACTCTACAAAATAAGAATAGACTTTCCTTAAACCTTGAATACTGGGTGAAAGTTAATCATTGCCACAAGTCATTATTTGGAGAAGAATGGAAGCAATTATATTTATTCCTGTCTTTGCTGGAGAAAATTCAGTGCTCCAGGTAAGAAGGGATATTT